ATCCTAATAGATACTCCTTCTCAGAAACTATTCCTTTCTTTTCTTTCTTGTCTTACAAAATCCTTCCCGTTTCTATTAAAAAATCATTTTTAACTTTACTAATTCTTAATCTACTAATCACATCATACTTTTTGCTAATAATATATCTATAACATCTTACTTTTAATCATGACATCAAGAATATTTTTGAAAAGTTAAAACAAAACATCTCTACCTTAAATTTTCTAAAAGTAAAAATGAAAATATTTTTATGGAACTTAGGAAGTACTACAATTCATTTAAAATAAAAAGGTCAATTAGATCCTACAATATTTAATATCCAAGACACTTATTCTTCAAAGCAAACAATGCAGAAGAATTAAAATAAGATTACAATTTCTTTTTAGAACTTGCTTACTCCTTAGTTTAAACTTAAAAGCTCTATTCTTAATTATTTTGCTTCTTCTTTAATGAGAGGACAGTAATGGGAGAGAGCTCGGAGTGCAGGTGGTTTATGAATTGAATGAGAAACAGGTCTGCACGTGGACTCTGACTCAGGGACTGTCCAGCCCACGATTAAAAGGACTCTGCATGCCTACCATTAATTTTGCTCTGTGTGTAGTACATGTACATACCCTTTTTAATATACCGAGCTCTTCATAATTTCAGGAGTGAGTATCTTTCATTTCTCACTTACTTTGCTGCCTTATTACTACTTTTATTTGTTTTCCACTAAGCTTTTGAAAAATGAAATAATTGTTGCTTCAAACAAATATATATGGAGTGCTTCTTTGGTGTATATTCTTTGATTTCATTAAGCTAAAAAAAAATTATTTCCTCCGTATTATATTAATACGGAGTCTATTAAAAGATGAAAAGTACAGTGCTTGAAGAAAGTCAAAAATCTACGAAGTACGATTAAGTTTATTTGGAAAATAGAGAAATACTTCCTCCGTCCCTAAATAAACTTCCATTTTTGACTTTTTTAGGATTTAAGGGAGGGATATTTTTGTGTTGACTTTCCAAAAATACCCTTGATGTGATGTGTAAAAGTAAGATGTGATAGGTAGATTATTAGTAAAAAGGTATGATGTGATAGGTAGGGTATGAAAAAATAAGGGGTAAAAGGGTTTTTTAAGGGAAAAGAGAAGTTTATTTGGGGACAAAGAAAAAACGAAAGAGGAAGTTTATTTAGAGACGAAAGAAGTAGTACAATTATCTACTGCAATTTTTTAAGAATAAAGAAAAAATGAAAAGTGTTAATTGATGGTTTGGACATGGAAGAGTTATTGGGCCGAGGCTAATATGTTCTTGATATACTCTTTCACAGACTTAGTCGTAATTCTAACGAATTGTGCAGCCTAGCAAACTTCTTCTCTAATAAGTGGGCAATGCTAGGGGTACACCAACATGGAGTACTCCAAGAGTACACCAAGCCAACACAGATACACACAGACACAAAATGTCTGTGCAACACAGACACTTTGTGTCTGTGTGTGTCTGTGTTGGCTTGGTGTACACTTGGGGTACCCCATGTTGGTGTACCCCTAGCTTAATTCCTAATAAGTTGCTAGTCTCCTACTCTGAGACTTAGCAAAAAATTGAAGGAAAAATTACCCAAAATAATCCCAACTTTACCCGGTCTTTCAAAAATAATCCCACCTTTTACTGTGATGCATAATAATCCAAACTTTACTGAAATTTGCCAGTTTTGGGTCGCCGTTAAGTTTCTAACGGAGGGTTAACGGAAATGCCCGTTTAAGGCAACAAAATGAAAGTTGAGATTATTTTTGATGAACTTTCATTTTTTTTATTTTTTTTAATTTTTCATTTAAATTTTTTAAATTACTTTCTACCTCCATCATCATTTCTTTTTCCTTTTTTTAAAGATTAGTCTTAGTTTAAAAAATACGTAGTATAAATAATAGATACGGAGTATAAAAAATGAAAAAAATGAGAAATGTAACTAAAATGATACAAAAATAATAAAATAAATAAAGTAATCAATGGAAACTAACTTGAAATTGGTAAAAGTAAAATAAAAATATATGGGTGGGTTTTAATATTTTACGCATTATACAAAGTATTAACATAACACTTCTTATTTTTTAGAAAAAATTATCTATAATAATTCCAACTTTACCGGACGGCTTGTTCTTTTAAAAAATAAGTTGTACATTAAAACTCCGTATAGTGTGTAAAATGTTAAAACCCACCACTCCGTATATATTTATTTTATTTCTTACCAGTTTCTGTTTAATTTCTATTGATTGCATTATTTATTTGATTAATTTTGTATGGTTTTAGTTATTTTCTCATTTTCATTATTTTTTATATCTATTTTTTTCTAAGGTCAGAATAATCTTTAAAAAAGAAAAAGAAATGGAGGTTGAAAGTAATTCAAACAATTTAAATAAAAATTTCAAAAAAAATAAAAAACAAAAATTCATAAAAAATAATCCCAACTTTCATTTTGTTGCCTAAAACGAGCATTTCCATTAAACCTCCGTTAGAAACTTAACGGCGACCCAGAACTGGCAAATTTCAATAAAGTTGGGATTATTATGCATCACAGTGAAAGGTGCGATTATTTTTGACAGATTGGGTAAAGTTGGGATTATTTTGAGTAATTTTTCTAAAATCGAAATGCTAAGTATGAACGAAGGAATTTAGACTCAAAGAAAGAACTTTAATTTGTATTATTCTCTCTCTAAAGCTTACAATGCTTCTCACTTCTTGAGTGAGTAAAATGGATGAGGGGGAGGGGTATTTAAATACTTTTCAACCTCCTCAATGGACGGCTAAGATCTATTTGATCTAACAGTTACTAATATGTCTACACTATTATATTCCATAATATTCTAGAACCTTCCAAACTTCTCTAGCAAGTTCCACATAATTCTAGAGGATTCCAGAGTCCTCCAAACTATGGCGGATACCTCTGGATAGTTTTTCAGATCAAGATATCTTCATATGGATCGGGTTGGGTTTGAGTCCCGAGCCTTTGTGGGATTTTGGGAAAACAAAGTGGTGCGTCAAATTCTCTCTCACTCAATATGGCGACGTACTTGATGCATTCCTCTTCTATGCCTCGATCATCTACTTATTATCCCATAAAGCCAGCTCGCGTTCCCAACTTGCCTTGCTATCGAGATCGGAGATCCTTTCCGCTTTGAAAAGGTACTCAATATAACTCAAATGGCTCCCACTTGCGCAAGAATTTCCTAAACTTTTCAATTTAGGCACCGTAATTATGGTTGTAGGTGTTCTTTTTTACTCACCTTGACTTGGATCATCTTTATCCTTGTTGAATGGATTTACCAGACTTAAATGAAAAACATGATGCATTTCCAAGTGTGAAGGTAAATTCAAGTGATAGGCTAGCTTATTGAAGCGCTTCTCGATCGGGAACGGTCCTTCATAGTGCCTCACTAACCCTTTGGGCACCTTAGCAAACCTTCGACTTTGGTGAGGAAAGAGCTTTGCCATTACTAAGTCTTTTTCCTCAAACTGTAAATGATTTTTGGTGATTTGATTTTGGAAGAAGGTAGAGGAAGACGTAGATCGGATGACAATGCAGTGCCGACGGCGATGGGGAAGAGGAATGGACACACACACACAAAGAGAGAGAGAGATTAAAGTAGGTTAGATAAAATAATGATGAAGGGATGAGTGGGTAAGTGAAACGGTGGGTGGGGTTTGAGGGTTGGGTAGATATTAGGTTTAAGGATAAAAATTTCCTTTTCAGGAAAAAAGTTTAGATCTTTGTGGGACAAAAAATTTATGAAATGTGTAAAACATTTTAGAACGGAGGGAACATGATTTTACATATTGTTCAAATAATGTCATTCATTTTGGGACGTGCATAGTAATATAATTTTGGAAAATGGGGGGCACATCGTGCAAATCTCGAGTCTCATGTTTGCCCATATAAAAATTTAATCGGGCTCGGACCATCTTGCTAATATGGATAATTATTGTTGTCCAAGTATCCTTTATTTTGAGGACGAGTTGGACAGGTGGGACATGCCGACCTTGTTTGTACTGGACTACCTGTCTACTCTCTCCATTCCTATTTAACTGGCCGATTCGTTTTTCGCACTTAAAGTTTTATCAACAATATTCTTTAAAACATTAACAAAAATATTACAAATAATAGATTTAAAGCATTTTTCAACACCAATAGTTCAATATAATTTTTATATTTTATTAATTATATATTTTGATATATAGTTAATCAAACATTTTACGCATAAAACAAAACAAACCATTGAATTAGAATAGAAAGTGTAGTGATGATCATTAAGTGTTGACTAATCAACATTATCCGTGCGCATTTACACAAAACCCTTTTGTTATGAGTGATTAGTTACGTTGTTGACTAAACTAACTTGGGCATGAATCTGTAACCCTAATCATTAGGAGGAGTATAAATACTCTAAATTTCATTCACTGGTGAATGGAGTTGACACATCCTCAGATCCACTACTGTGTGGATTAAGACGTGTGTACGTAAATAATCCTTCCATACCACAAAAACTTTATCTTATTTTTTTAAAACAATGAGTGTACTCAACCAAAAAATAAATTTATCAACACCCTTATAAAAATTAAGGAAAATATTGACAAATAAAAATTGTAGTTGAAACTTATAAACAAGAGAAAAAACATTGTGAATATATATTCTTCATATCTATAATAAAATATAAAAAAATGGAAAAAATTATTCAAAAATGAAAGGAAAAAAAGGAAACCATTTATAAGACGAAACAGTGATTACAGTTCAAATAACATTAAATTCCAATGCCATGAGATCAATGACATCAAGCTACATACTATGATTCTTTTCCGTTATGACCGAAAGGTTATCCTATACTGTACCCCGAACCAGTGAAATGCGACGCCTAACATATTGAAAAATGAATGAGGTTCCAGTGTCAACGGACCCAAACCAAAGGGGAAGAGTAAAGGAAAGATACCTCCTATTATATACAGTGGATAAAAAAGGGTTTATCAATCATGTACCACTCTCATCATTGTGTTTGTTGCTTAAAGCTTGGGCACTCTCTCTTTCCCCCTCCTCCACCACCACACCCTCTCTATCTCATTCATTTCTCATCTCTTGTCATTCCACAAAGAAGAAGAAGTCATATTTATGCACATATATACATTGTTATAATTAGTGGTTAGCTATATATCATGAGCAGCACCATGGAAGGAAACAACAATGGCGGCGGCGGCGGCCGGCTTAACTTCCCACTCCAATTGTTAGAGAAGACGGAAGACATTTTTTCGCTCTCGACATCGACTACATCGAATATCTCGGCTTCCGTCCCGCAAGTGGCCAACCAGCAGGATTCGACTGTTAATAAGAAGCCTCTGGTTAAGAGGGCTTCCACGAAAGACCGTCACACTAAGGTGGACGGTCGCGGGCGGCGGATCCGGATGCCCGCAACCGCCGCCGCTAGGGTGTTCCAGCTCACTAAGGAGCTGGGACACAAGTCTGATGGGGAGACCATCGAGTGGCTCCTCCAGCAGGCGGAGCCCTCAGTGATCGCCGCCACCGGGACCGGGACGATCCCGGCGAACTTCACGTCTCTCAATATATCCGTCAGGAGCTCCGGGTCCACGATGTCGGCCCCGTCGCACCTGAGGAACCTCAACAGCTATCTGCACGGGTACTCGCAGCTGCGACTCATGGAGGAGTCGCAGCGGCGGATAATGCTCGGACTGTCGTCCGAGTACTCCTCCGCCGCCGGCGCCGCCGCGCCGTCCGCTTTGAACTTCGGATTCGGCGGCGGCGGGGGCGGCGACGACGTCGGCGTCGCGCTCTTTCAAGCGAAGCAAGAGGGAGATCGGCACCCGCCCCCGGCGCTCCAGAACTACATGTCGGGAAACTACATGTTGCAGTCGAGCTCCGGGTGCATTCCGGCGAGCCAAGGGCAGATGCCGGCGACGACAACGTTGTTCCGAATGGCGAGTAATAACCCGACCACAACAAGCGGCCAAATGATGTCCGGCCACGAATCTTGTCTGTGGGCGTTGCCGGCGGCGAGTATTGCCAATGTCACCACATCTAACAACAGTGGGCTGCACTTGATGAACTTTCCAAGTCCGGTGGCGGCGGTGAGCGGCGGCGGCGGCACGGCGGGGGAAGGGCAGCCGACAAGCATGTTTGCCGCATTAAATGGTTTTAGGTCCATGGAGGATACCCGGTAATTAAGATAGTAACAGTCGACATTCCTTGAATTGCCTTTCTAAGTAATATTAATAATATATAATAATAATTATTATTATAATCAAATCAATCAGGTGAACAATCATATATGGATTGTTAATTATTTTGCTTTCCTTCTCTTCTTTTTCTTCCTATATTATTATTATTATTACCCAGAATTATTGAGTATGTTGATTGTAAGTCGAGTTTTTAAATCCCACAAGGGACTATATATAAAATATTCTCGATTTTTTTTGTTGAATCACTAATAAGACTAATGTTTGATAAATGATTTAAATTTTCATCATCCATTCCTTTGTTGGCTAGTAGAAACATACTCCCTTCTTCATCACAAATTTTCTTTCCAATGGTGAGAATGGAACATTTTGATCAGTAATATTTATATTTAAAGAAAAACTATACTCGTATATAATAGAAATATGATATTTCAAAAATATATTTTAAAATGAGTTTTTCATATTAAATTTATAGTACGGAGTATAACACAATATATTACTCTCTTCGTCCCAAATTTAAATGTTTATTTATTATTTACAGGGTCAAACTTTATTCATTTTTATTCCTAAATTTTTATTACTTATTTGATAAAATAATAAAATCATGTCACATTTTGTTTCATAGAGCTTTTGATGTTGTTTTTTAATAAGTAAATTTTATTTTTTAATTCCTCTTAAATTCTCAAATAAATTGTATTTGATAATAATTCAGTCAAACATCATAAACTGAAACAAGCAATTTAAATTGGGTCGAAGGGAGTATATTTTTTGTTACATATGGTCACACTAAAATTTTTTAACTAAAAATATCAAATAGAAGAAAATTTAGGAAAGGAGGGAGTATCTTTGATATATGCTCACCATTGTAATTACGGAATCGTTTGGGATTAGTATTTTCGATTAGCGTTAACATTTTGGATAAGATTTTAACGGTGCAGTATTGCAGTATAACTTGAATACGCTAACATTAATTGTTGCCCGTAGATAGTTTTTTGAGAATGCGCTAATAACGCTAACGTCTAATGTTAGTTATTCCCAAACAGGTCCTACAACTCATAACTACCTTATATATATGTCTCTATGCCAGGGAGTTCATCTATGTTCGAATAATGACAATTGCAAAAAAGGATAACAATGCTAATTAATAATTATGATGTTCTTGCAAGTGTCATTAGGGACTATAGATTTCATTCTCTCTCAATAAGGTTGAATTTATGGTTCAATTAAACTCATCCCAGTTTACTGTTTGGAAATGAAGATCCTACAGTTGGGCTATAACTAAGTTTGTGAATGAATTTATATGGCAAGAATGACACGTTTATGTTGGATACAAGAGAGATTTGACAGCCTTAAAGTTTCCATAAAAAAGAATAGTAGGAAAATGATGTTTGAACTTATGAATTAATCGCCTCATTACTCTTTTAAGTCTGTTTCGAAATAGTTGCCCTTTCTATTTTCTAATGGAATTTCAACCATATATTTTTTAACATAAAAATTGATGGTCTTATTTTTTTTTAAGTCTATTGCCCTTTCTATTTTCTAATCGAATTTCAACCATATTTTTTTTATTTTTCATTATTTTCTTAAATCCTTCAAAGTCAAAATAGAATACTATTTTATAGTTTACGTTTTACGTTCCAAAACCTGATGCAAATTTACATAAAAAGAAAACCATAAATAAGTAAGTGGGACGTTGGGTAGACATTGGGCAAACATAAATAAATAGGTACACACTATCAACTTTTTGAACGGAATATTATAGAAATTCCGGATCATCTCATGATGTGATTGATTCCCAATATTATGAGAATCAAAATAAGTAAATAGCAAGAATTTCTAAATTTTTGCTCATAACATTTTTGTGGACAGTGTTCAAGGTAAATAAATTAATTAATTAAAGAAGCCTCCCAATAAATATTGAAGAAGATGTCAAGATAATCTATTTCTAAGATAACTCTCCTAATCTTTGCTATAACAACTGTGAGGATACTTTTCTGATTTTAGTTAATAATACTATTCTATTCAGACTCTTTCCTTTCTTCAAAAATAATCTTGTTGCATTATTTGATGAGTACCCCTGTCCGTACATAATATTACAACTTACAAGTCATAAAAGTGGTACATATTATTATATTAATTGGACCCAATATATTTTGTTACATGTCAGGCCCAATAATATATTATCAATATTCAAGACTAGAGGCCCAATATAGCCCGACAGTCTAGATGACAAGTGTTCCTCGGACTATGACATAAATATTCTATCATGATAGTATTAAATTGAGAGTTAAAAATATAATTTTACAATAACCATATATCCTTATTATAACCAATTTCATGTGTCACTACTCATATGTCGTTTGTCAACTGGAGTCGTTGTCTCATACAATAATAGTTTACAAATGTCCATTTTGATCAGAATCCTAGTTCACAAATATAGTCATTATTCCTTCCGTCCTAAAATTTTCTTCTCAATTTGGTTTATGAGGTTTGACTAAAATTATTTTTAATTAAATTTATTTGATTATAGGTGTAAAATTAAAAAATAAATATGATATACTTAAAAACTATATCAAATGTTCTACAAAATAAGAGGTGACATAATTATGTTATTTTATCAAATAAATAATGAAAATAGGTAAAACAAAGTTATTAAAGTTAGACCATGTAAATAATGTCTAGAAAGAAAATTTTAGGATAGAGTGAGTATTATTGCGTTGTCCATCAAGCCGATATTCGAACATATTAGTGGACATAAGGTTAAAATAAAATTACATTTTTACAATTTAACATCAACATGACAAATGGTTAAAAAAGACTATCCATAGAAAGGTATGCATAAAGGATGAACTACAAACGTATAATTTGATAATAAATAACTAAATATAAAACCTCATGTACCTATATGGCGGCTATATTAATGTCTTTTGATAATTAATTTTTACAAATGACATAATATTCTCAGTACTATCATCTTTTTGTATCTAAATACTGTAATATTTAGAAACATCGAATATCAAATTCTTCCTTTTTTGGTCAGAGGTTCTCTCGAGCTCTGGTTTGTTTTGTGTCTCAGTCTCTTGAATTGAGTAGGTTGTCGCACTCTATAGTTTCATTCTTCTCATTGATGCAATCTGTTAGGTTAGTTTATGTCAAACCCAGACATGTACATATTGAATGGGATAGACCCTACATTAGAAAACTTTGGATGGGAGCCTGATCTCAGGAAAGAGGAGACTCAATGGACTCTTTTTTTTGACATGAAAGTGCTCCAAACTACCAATATCAATGGACTTATGAGGGAGATGTGTCATTCTTTTATTATAGTGTTTTTTATACAGAGTAATGTGTTAACTATAACATATTACTACATTCGTCCATGTATATTTGTCAAATTTGACTTTTAAAGTCAAATTGGATAAACTTTCAACTTTAGTTAGATAAAAAATTTAATTTATATTAGTATAAAAATGATTTCATTAGACTTATCATAAATAAAAAAATTCAAAATTTATTTCATTTTATTAATATCCAATACAAATTTAGAGTTACGAATGATTAAAGTTCATTCAGTTTGATTAAAAAAAGTTAAACAAGATGAATAAACTAAGATAGAGAGAAATAATATAGTACAGAGTATTACAAATGTATAATAATATAAATTTCATAATGTAATATAAGGGTTAAATATAAATGAATAGAGTAAAGAAAGTAGGGATTATAGAGAAAAAAAGTTAGAGAGCAAAGAATTAGAGATTAGTAAATAGAAATTATTGTGTGAAAATAAAATAGAATTGTGGAAGTATTTATAGAAAATAAAATTATCTTCCACCCCCGGGGACCTCCCACCCCCTTCCCCTTCACACTTATTGAACAATAGCTTTATAGTTGTTGGCCATGCAACGGTTTTCGCTCCTCCTAGAGACGGATCTAGAAAATATAATGATTGAGGGCACTTTTATCAATGAACAAGGGGTGTATTATTTTTTTTATTCGGAATACCCTTTAATTCAATATTTTTTTTAAAAATATATTTATTATGAGTATTACACTATACATATAAAAAATGCAGTTCATTGGGGTACTATCGATGCTTTAGATCCACCTACGCACTTCCCCCCGAAGAGTAAACTTTAAAATCCAAACAAAAAAATAAAAAAAACTAGTATCGAAACTAGGCTGTCGTTTCTGATGCTCATTTTTTGAAAACTTGAACCGGTCCCCCACCCTTGAACGGATGCCTACCGACATTGGTTCGGAACCCGTACCGTGTCCATGCCCTAGGCTCATACATGAACTCTTAGAGGTCTAACTTTTTATTGACCCTTGTTTCAATTGGTTATTGGTTACCCACCTCACTCACTCCTCTTGTAGTCTTGTGCTAGATTAGCTTAGAAGTTGGGAACAACACTTCCCCCTCCCCCTTCCCCCCTCCCATTCATTTCCTTTCTCTTTCACTCTGTCCCCTCCCTAGAACTTTCACTTCCCTCTTTCTAGAGCTCTAATCTGCTCAATTCCGGCGGCTCCGCAGCCCGTCGCCGCCCCTACATCGCCGTCTCGCTGCTCTTACGACTCTCTTTGGTCGCCCATCTTATGCAAACGTATGTATCTCTGTATCATCTTAATCAATTTTCAGAATTTTCTTCTGATTTCAGCTTTCGGAGTTGCTAGCTGATTCTTTTTTCTTACTAGGGTTTATTTAGATGTTTTTTTTGTTTCTTTGGGAGTTCAGATGGTTAAGTTCAGTTTCTTTAGTCTGGTGCTTGGATGAGTGCACTGCAACTTCTATCCTGGGAAATGAATGTGTTATCTATGTACCTTTCAAGTTTTCAAGTCTAAATAAGCAAATAATCCCCAGAAGAGGAGATGTACAGGGTAAATTACTTCCCCGTCGTGTAAAGCTAAGTTGCACGAAGACGGGGACGGGCCAAGGACCAGTAAAATACCAATTTTTCTAAATTTCATGAAGAATTTGGGTGTGAGGATTAAAATTTTAAATTTTTAATGGGGTAGTATTAAGAGTCTTTTTAATATCTATGTAAAAAGTAAAACTTTGATATGGCAAACCATCCTTGGTGACCTTAAAGTACCTGCTTTCTGTGAATTCCAGTGTGGGTAATGGCTGTTTCATCTTTCAATCTACTATGTATACATTTTTTCGGAGAAAAATGTTACCGGAGTATCTTTTAAGTACTGATTTGACTGAGCATACAATCTGAGAACTTAGTTTTTGAATGGTTCAACTAAGTGAGATGGCTGGTTATTTTGGCTGGACCAAAATCACATTTTGCTTCTGTATATAAAATTTCAAGTGTAGGTAGATATTTGTGGCCTATGCTCTCTTTACCTGACTCTTTGTTGGATTTTGTTTATTTCTTCCTTTCAGGTTAAATTATTCTTGAATGCCTTCAGTTACTAGAAGCATGGGGCTTTAAAACCAAGCACCTTTCATCTTGTTCTCATTTTTTATGATTCATAGAGATATTTAATGTGCTTTCACTAGGCCAAAATGAAGACCTCACAGGTTGTTACCTTAACACTTCTATTCTTCTAAGAAGTTCCTTTTTTTAATTCATTCATTCATGTTAACACTTAATTCCATCTTTTGATTCTTTGTAACATCTTTTGACTTTGATATCACCTATATTGGAAAAACTATAGGAAAGAACAAATCAACGGTAAAGAAGTTGTTTCATAACTGTTTGACTCACCCAGAAACTGACAGGAACTGAACAAACAGTGAAGGACAAAGTACAAATTAAATTGGAAAATCCACAATCCGAACTACAGGATGTAAACCATCACATTATAGCATTATGATAGAGAAATTTGAGTTCAAGTTATTTGCACTTATGTATGTGCTTTGTAGAGCATGGTTATTCTAGCATATGAAATTTTCAGCCAGAAAAGATGTGCTTTTGGTCTTGAGGACTCAAATATTGGTGAATGATTATAGATTACATGGTGGAGATGACAAAGAACAATATTATTTTCTTTTACAACAACAATCCAAGTGTGTTCCTTAAACATCATTTGCTTTTATGCCAATTTTTGTCATGTTATTCATTGAGTGCTTGTCTTGTGCTTTATAGTGGCACATAAAAATGTTCCTTCAAATAGTTGGTGCCTAGACTCCAACTAGTTGGGGGCACTGGTGATGATGGCATGTTGAAACATTTTGGTAAGAACTTGCAGGACTCACAAAAATCACAAGCAAAACAACATTCAACCCAGGTTTCACATGACTCACAAAATGATCAACCAAACAATACAACTGAGAATCCGGATGCAGATTCTGTGTCAGTTTCGGCATCTGGCAATGAAAACAGGAAAATTTCACGTGAAGATATTGAGCTTGTAAGATACTAAATTCCCTCTAGTTGTTTTCCACTATCTTTTGGCATCTTGAGAGACATTTTTATATCTGATTTTTACGACATTTTTTTGTTTGATAGGTTCAAAACTTGATTGAGAGGTGTTTGCAGTTGTATATGAATAGAGATGAAGTAGTGAAAACACTTCTAAACCGGGCAAGGATAGACCCTGGATTTACAACTCTAGGTAAGTATGATTAATATATTAATTTATTAAATATGAAATGTATGGAATATCATGGTTGGTTACTAGTGTGCCTTTTTCTGCAAATAGTTTTTTGCTGTCTCGTCACCATACTGTTATCACATGACTACTTGCCTCTGACTTCAGGTGATCAGATAAATTTCATGTTAGGATTTCCATTTGTAGTTTAACATATTCCTTCTATGTACAGTGTGGCAAAAGTTAGAAGAAGAAAATGCTGATTTTTTTCGGGCCTACTACATAAGGCTGAAACTGAAGAAACAAATTATATTGTTCAATCACTTGCTTGAGCATCAGTATCATCTAATGAAATACCCAGTACCTCCCAATGTTCCATTAGCTCCATTGCAAAATGGTATCAGTACCATGCCAGGTAAGCTTAAGTAATTTCTCTTTAAATGATCATTGTAACTGCATGCATGATTACTTGAATGCCATAGGCTCCTCGTAGGGAATTCCTCATAACCAATTCATATTTTGTTATTTTTTTAATGGTTGTATTTCTTGTAGCATCTATGCGACAAGTTTTAATAGTTAATATTCTTGTAATGTGCTTGTCGATGTCCTATCAATAAATTAATTTTATATGTTTAAATACATAAGCATTTCTGGCTCTCATCTTAAAATTCGTAAACCTGGCTGTTGAAATTGAAATAGACATATATTATGGATGGTTGAAATTGCTGATGAGCTGAATTGACTGAATTATCAAAAAATTACTTAAAATTCTTTTAATAGCTAAAGATGACAATGTCAATTGCCTTCATTTAAGACAAAAAAGTTATCTTGCATTACACTATGTTTGGTTCAAGGAATTTGAAAGGGAAAAGAAGAGAAATGAAGTGGAAAATAGTTTTTCTTGTTTGGTTAGAGAGGAAAAGTGGAAGGAAAAGAAAATGAGAAGGCAAAATGAACTAAGAGGAGGGAAAACCAAATTCTTCTCATTTTGGTGAGGAAAATGATAGAAAATCATTTTCTTATCTTTTTCTTCCAAATTCCTTGAACCAAACGTAGTGTCAACTAAGTTGGTGTTTGGTAAAAGCATAAGCAAGAAAAGTAGGGTATGGAAAAACATAAGAAAAAAATTCATAGTGATCTTCACCTGAGTGGAATAGCAAATTTGTTTTAGAGGTCAATGGTTGACTGTGAATAGTTTCTCTCCTACCATCTTGCATGCGCCCGCGTGTGATTTCTTTAAAGTTCAAACCCAATACTTTGCATATTCCTAACTCTATCCCCAAAAAGAATCAAATTTGTGATACTTAACTCAATATTACAAATATTGAGTTCTTTTTTTGTTGGGAACTTGGGACAGAGGTGAAACTAATTTTACAATTTTGAAAACCTAAAGATAAAGATCGATTTCAGTATTTCACGCTATCAAACGTATTCAACATTAAATTTACTGTTTTTTCACTTCTATTTTCTGGAAATTTATGAGTTGGCTCTTCGGTTAGTAACTGTATAAAACAATTGGTTCGTTAATCTCTCACTTAGTTATAAACTTTAGGACTTTGTTAGAGAGGCCCAAACCTTGACTCCATGTTTGCCTCACACTCCTTTTTCTTCTCACACACATGAACACTGCTCATGTGTTTGAAAAGGAAAAAAGGGGTTGGGGGCAAACTTGCGGTGACTGGCATTTTCCTTAACTTTGTATTTTCATACTTGGCTAATTAGAACCTTCGTTCCATGGACTCTTCAAATAAGTGCCACTTCCCATCCCTGACATGCTCTTTTGGATACATGGGGACGTCCCAACACCCAAATCCTTTGTATGATTTTGAAAAGGTCATGTTTTCATGTTCATGACATTGTCGTGTGTGAGTACATGTCCTTGTCTTGGTGCAACAAAATTTTCTACACATACCAGTATACCACGGGGTCATGCAATGCACTTTCAACTTATCTACCCTACTATTAAAGGAAGTGTTAGACTTCGTACACTCTCTCCGTCCCAAAAAGATCTTTACATTTGATTTTTCTTGGTCAAACTTTACAAGCTTTGATTATGCCTTGTGAAAAAAATATATTTTGTTATAATGTAAATTTAATATCATTGAGTTAATTTTATGATATAGTTTTGATGTATCAAATGTTTATAACATTTAATTATGTACAAATATAGTTACTAATGGTTAAAGTGTCGCATAGGTAACCGAAAAAAATCAGATGTTAGAATCTTTTAGGGACACAGAGTATATACATATACACACATATCTTTCTCACTCACATATCCAAATCATAACCTCCATATTCCCTAGTTATTATAAACTGATTTTTTAGTTTAATTTTTTTTGATAGTTAAGAGAGATTAACATAAAAAAGTGAATTAACATAGTATTACACTATTACACCACAATTAAAACTACTCATATTTTCATTAGAGCACATACTCTCATAAAGACTGTTATTTATGCATATGTATATAGAAAATCTTCTAAGTTTGCTTGATTTCCCAATGATAGAAAATTCCTCTCCTAATAAAATATTTTGCATGAAAACTGAAAAATGATATCAACACATGCTATTTTTTTGTTGTTGAGAAATAATCCAAATGCCGCACCGGAAGGAGAAGAAAAGATTGACTCATATATAAGGTTGAACCCAACTCCATTACTATGAGGCCTTTTGGGAGGTGTCCAAAAACAAATTTGTGAGGGTTTGATGAGGACAATATTATACTAATGCAGAGTTAAGGTAAGGTATGCGCAGTCCCAACATGTGACATTGAAGCCCAAGTTTAGAGTGGGTAGTAGAAGTGGACTGCATTTGTGAGAAATTTCTTGTGCTTGGTATGAGACATTTTGGGAGGTGTCAAAAAACAAATCCGTGAGAGCTTGGCCCAAAGCAAACAATGTCATACAAATGCGGACTTAGGGTAAGGTACGCGCTACCCCACAATATATAAGACCTTATATCATTGTTGTCATAGCACCAAGGCGAGGCGTGGCGCCAGTGTACTGCCATGACGCCTAGGCGACTAGGCTACCGCCTAGGCAACAATCAAGCGAGCTAGGTGGCAACACATAAGAAATCAGGATGGGTATACATTAGTAACACTTAAGTAACACTAATATATAAGCATACATGTTCTCTAAACCTAATCAAAATTTCAAATACACATACTTTAAAAAAATATAAGCACACCATGATATGAAAAAGAAGAAGAATATGAAATACAAAATATTTTAAAAACAATACGTGACTTCTTAGTGCAAAGTAAATACCAAGTATGAAAAAGCCACTGACTAAAAGGTATAAAGGATTTTCAAAAATGGTTGCCTAGTTGATGCCAGGACGCCTAGGCGACAACTTGATAACCATGCCTCATATGAATCACGTGTACTTTTTAAGCTAGTTACACACTAACCAAACCAAACCAAACATACTATCCCACTCAGAAGCTGGGTCTGAGAAAATTTCTTTTTCGTTTCTTGAGAGAACTTGCTACAATCACACTTAGTGTGACCAGCGTAGAATCTGCATGTTTCAATTTCTTGTAGTATTTCATTTAATATTGGTAAATACATTTATATATTTAGAAACTACGGGAAGCATATTTAATAATGTTAGGGGCTTAGGGATATAGGTGAAAAATATTTTTTATAACAATGTTTATTACGTAGTAATGTTTAAGATTATAGTTAAAAAAATAATAATTAACCGACCATTCGACCAACAAGAAAACCAGAAAAATCTAACAAAAAGTAGAGTGTGCAGAGGATGGTGTATGCAGACCTTACCCCTACTTGAAAGTAGAGAACTAGGGTATGCAGAGTGGGTCAGTGTGAGTAGTAAATGTAAAGCATGAATTGTTTTCTACTCTGATTGTTGTTATTAAGTGACACTTGTATTCAGTGCAGTCAACAATTTACCAATAGGATATCCTGTACTGCAACAACCGCCAATTCCTACAACAGGTCAACCTCATATCAGTCATATGGATTCAATGGGTTTATCAAGCTGTCATGTGGTCAATGGAGTACCTGCACCAAGCAACTTCCAGCCGATCCGGAAGAATTCTGTGAAAGAGTAAGAATATATTGTCCTTCATGACACCACCCTTGACTTCAAGCGAATAAATGAAATGCAGTAATTATAAACACTATCAGTGCTATTTTCTCCTGTTATCGTGGTACTGTGTGGTTTATCTTACTGTATATACCTTGAAATGCTCAAGATATACAGGTTGTGACTTGTACCCATCATTCTTTTCTTGAGCATCTACACTTCTCATTAGTTTTAGTCATCAGCTCATATAACCATAGCCATCTGTTTGGACAGTAGAACATTTGGAAGTCACTTGTAATCAGGGGATGCTACTTTGATTCTGCCACTTTTCTCAATGCTTGAAAAAAGAGATCATTGTTGATTCATCTTTTGAAACTAAACATATCTTCAAATTCACCTAATTTTTCAATGCCGAGTTCTTTTTTGAAAATTATATTTCAACTCATTTAAATTGCTCATATTACGCATCCAAAAAATGATGTTCGACACTTTTGTCTTTTTTGTAGAATGGTGATTGAAACTGCTCAAACCAGTGCATCAGATGCATCCGCGGCTGCTCCACCAAGTAATGCCATTTCATCTATTCCAGATATGCCTGTGAGCCCCACACAAGCTGCCTCCAGTGGCCATTTTCCCTTCACTGCATCAGAGATATCTGGGATGGGAGTAGACGCATCAGCCCTTGACACAGCATTTGCATCTGATGCTAGCTCAGTAGGACTGCATCTCCCCACTGATAACGGAGCTGGAAATTCTAGAGATTTTCTCAGATCCTTGGCTCAGATTCCTTGGAATTTCAGTCTTTCGGACCTAACAGCTGATTTACCAAACTTGGGAGGTAATCTAAGTGATTCCTTAAAGATACCGTCATATGATTTAACTGAATATGGTGCTAAAATAGATTGAACCAACTTGGGATTTTTCTTCGTTTTGCGCAACGTAAAAAAAAATATGGGACGGAGGGAGTAGTTAGTACCTTATTTACAATTAATGTGGTCAAGTGGATTACATAAGTTGGCTAAGTAAAATGCCGAAGGGCACAAAATCACTTGATTTCCTCCTAAAATCATGCTTGGGGACATTGCATTTAGTATAATGTGTTTTGGTCCCAAAATTATGCAAGTAAACATGATTTATGGGGTAAGCCAACTCACACTTCCCTCAGCATGAACATTTATGTTACGATAAGTGGGCTCTTAAAAGTTTCAAGTTTCTGGGTGCAAATCGTGTTTTATTTATTCTAATTGGTGCTAATTGCTACCTGATACTTATGTCACACAGATCTAGGAACTCTTGGAAATGACAGTGGCTCGCCATTTTTGCATTCTGATTCAGACGTTTTACTCGATTCTCCAGAGAAAGACGACTTAGGTGAGAATTTTTCCAATCTTGCATATGAGTTTTCAAAATGTAGTGTTGGATATTACTCCGTATATAAGATGAACTTCACCATAAATCCCATGCTAAGTGCTTCTATCAAGTAACCAAAAGCAAGGATTTTTATGCATATTTTTTTCTAACTGGTCTTATTTCATCTGTTTTGGGTTTGTTATAGTAGATGAGTTCTTCGCCGACTCCATCCCTGGGTCAGCAGGATCTCAATCGGATGAAGAAAATCCCTAGTGATGACGGAAGGAATGTAAGGGTACCCTCTAAATACCAAAGAATTAGTGGTTCAGAACTATGATCACAGAGAGATGACAATGCATAGAGACCATTCCTTACCGGGATTTTGCTGTCCCGAAGCTTGTTGTTTAGCTATTTAGACATTATTATTATAGCTTTCAGAGCAGGTAATTCGTGTTTCAGCTGAATATATCTTCCAAACTAAGATATAATTTAGGTTTTGTATTCAAACTGTTTTATTCTGCAATGTTGTATTCTGCTCATACGAAACGCGACGGTGTTCATGAGCCCAGATTAGATTACTGCAATAGTAGATTGTTGCCTAATTTAGGGCATTAACACTATGTTTGGTTCATGGAATTTGGTTTGGAAAAGAGAAGAATGTGATAAAAATAAGATCTTGTTTGGTAAGAAGGGAAAAGAAAAAAAGGGCCAGAGTAAAAACGGAAAAGTTTTCCTTCCATTTTGGTGTAACCGGAACGCGGTCTTGTTCTCGAGCCTAGGAGAGATCTTTGAGTTCTCCATTTCATTCTGGAAATCTGCTCTGGTCTCTTTTGCATTTTTCTTGAGAAAAAAGAAAATTTTTCTTTTGTTTTCCATTCCATTCAGGAGTTTCCATTTGGCGGAAGCTTGGAAATGAATTTTGTTCAATTTTGACATGGGAAAAGGCTGGCTGGTATTGAATGTAATATGATTCACATAGCACATTTTTTCTTTTTTTAGTTCAAATTTTTGTGTAATTATGTGAATAAGTTGATGAACTATGTATGTCATGTGTTTGATAAATTGTCTCTACCAAATTTATACTCCGTTCTAGATATGTTTTAATATATTCATTCAATTTGATTTTTTCGGGTCAAAATGGTCAAATTTTGGATTTCAATTAAATAAAAACTTTAATGTCTTATAGAAAAATAATTTCATTACATTTATTTTCTTTTTGAAATTATATTTTATTACGGAGTATATAAATATGTAAACCAAATTGAGAGTAATGAAAAATTCGTCCAATTTAGTTCAAAAAATTAAATTGCAATATGATATAGATTTTTAATGTTGAAAGATTAGTTTTAAAACTTAATTTTAATATATCATATATTTTCCAACTTATGACCGACCAATCACGAGGACATTTGGTTGAATTGACGCATCTATGCAATAGTGACTCTGTTCTTTTAAAGCTAAATCTAACATTCATTTTGAGGTGATAGCCATTTGGATTAAGCTACTTGTACACCAAAATTTGTAATCCATTTTGTACTCTAAAAGCATGCACTGACATTTTGAACTAATGTGATGATTTACATTGACAAAAAATGTCAGTTTAATTTTTTTTAATGGAACTAATATTTTCTGTCAGTGTGAATCGTTAAAATATCGATGCATTTCTTTGGAGTATAACCTGGGGTACACTTTTGGTGTACCCTAGTATGGTTGTAGCCATTTATATCATAAAGAGTTACTCCGTCCATTCAGACAATTGTGACTTTTGAGATACATCAAAGATTGAATGAACATTGACCTACATCATGTCTAGATTCATCTAACTTTTGATGAAAAGATTGAATGAATATTGACCTACATCATGTCTAGATTCATCTAACTTTTTGATTGTATGGCATCCATCAACTCATGCAAAAGCCAAATTTGGCCATTGAGGCATATAACAAAATGGAAGACTTGTACAGGTAATGTACTCTGCATTACAGACCCAATGAATGATACTGCACCTCAAACCAATTTCATGTCCCACAATATCAATTCAGTCATATTGACATCATTTTAATGACCAATGGATATACAACAAAGCCCAGAAGTGAATTAAAAAAAATTGTCTGGTAAGTACATCTTCAGATGAACATAATGTTGCAGTACCCGTTTTTTTCCAATCGCAGCGCCCGGAAGAATAAAGAGCAGTCAAGAACGACGAAAACCAATCAATAGATAACTGCTATATCGTATTTTCACTCCCACCCCCTTCGTGTTATTGTCCTATCCTTTTGTTGCATTTTTTGTTTGTTTTTTGTACCAAATGGAACAAAGATCACTCAATTTTAACGAAAAATGTCAAAGCTGGGGAAAAAAATAATAATAGTAATGATGTTCAGCAACCCATCACAGCACAGTTATAGACAAAGCTACCTGATTGCTTTCGCCCAAGTAAATGCCATTGGGGCGGTTGTCCTTCGCTAGGGACCCACGAGTTGACTTCGATGAACCCTGGGCTTGTAGCCCTAGGCCCTCCGATCACAATGAGCCTATCCCCACATGCCCTAAAGGCCAATCCCCAACCATTCATGGAATCCGCGCGTTCTGGCAACCTTCCAATGGTAAGCCACTCTCTGTTCTCCTTGTCATACTTCCTCACCACACTGCCGGCGTAATCTGCGGCGTACAGCTGGTTGTTGACCACTGCAATCAGAGGGGGTGCTTCAGATGTGGTGGGCAAGCCGTTTTCCCTGGCGCGAGGAGGGGACATATTTGGTATTTCAGTCCAAGTGTTCTTCTCAAGATCGTACTCCTCCCCGCACGTCAAGAGTTCCGCCTGGGGCCCACCAATGCCACCGACCACGTAGAATTTCCCATCCATGAACACGGCAGAACACATCTTCCGTGTCTTGTTCATGTTTGGCAATGGCTTCCAAACTCCGGTCTCAGAATTGTAAAGCTCGGCTGAGCAGAGGATCTTACCTGCCAAGTCACAGCCACCAGCCAAGATAGCAATCTCCCCTTGGCAGGCAGAACCAAACAGACACCGTGGCTCATTCATAGTCATGCCCGAGGACCATGAATTCGTGGATAGGCTGTATCGGTAGATGACTTGGGTCAGGATTTCCTTCCCAAACACAAGAAGCTCTGTGCCCACAGCCAGAGATTCCTTGTCTGAGAACACAAAACATTCATTAGAGTTCATTGTTGGGAGACGCATCCAATGGCGGCGACTGGGATCAAAAGCTTCCCATTCCAACATGTTGCAGGAAAAATAAACCCAATGCTCAACTATACCATTCAATCTTCTCAGCCTGTAGAGCTCGCCGCTCCTAATTAAAGAGCGAAAGCTCCTGTTCAGAGCAGAAATGCTGCCATAATCAGATCTTGAACAACGAATGAGACAGCTAATGGAGTTGTCTTGACCAATTCCTGGAATGAGACTACTAGTGTCAGAATTTGCCCCATCAGATTGCTGGTTACTACCTTGCACTACAACCATGCGCGTCCCATCATCAGCTTTGAAATCATAGATACGGTAATCTACAGCTTGGGATGTAGCAAAAGCAATGCCCAAGGTTAGAGATGTGTCCACCATGTCATGAGTGACGCGTTGTTTGCGAAATTTCCTAAGAGAATGTTCGTCCTCGTGATTGTTATTATCATCCATCGTCCTTTTTCCATTGCCATCGAGCAAGTAACCCACACAAGCCCAACTTGAAACCAAACAAGAATGTCCTTCTACCATGTCTTCAGGGTTTAACAGCAAGGAAGGAAGACTTTCTAGCCTCATATAATGGTCTGCAGCTTTGGTATTCCTTATTAGTCAAATGCTCTGCAAATAGTTAACCCAAATCTCAAAAAACTTTAACGATGGCAATATAGTGTGCATCTATATACGAAGTATATAAAACAAGGAGAAAAGCGTAGAACACCCAAAAATTCTTTATATACTGTCTCCGCCCCATGGTAATGGTCTTTCTTTTTACTTTTTATACTTTATTTAGAACATGAAATAATGTGGTTGAGAATTATTTAAACAACATACTTCTTTCTTTGAATGAAATGGGTACACTTCCCGAATACTGAAAATTAAAAAGATAATGAAACTAATTTTGAAAAAAACGTTATAAAAAGTTTCATGAAAATTTCGGTTATACTAGAACAACAACCTGCCCAGTGTAATCCCAAGCAGTTTGTTCTTGGTTGGTGTACACAGAACTTACCACTACATAAAGGGGTAAGGACGTTGTTTCCGAAAAACCGCTACCTACGGACAGAAATTTAAGTAGAACTATCCAGAGAAAAGAAACATGGAGATGCAAAGAAAAGAAATGGGGGAAAACCCACACCCATACAGCTGATACAAGTTCATCTCTTTGATCCAAATCTATGATATAACAACCAAGATCACTCTGAGAACATGTAAAGATTCGATCTTTCATTAGCTACCACAAACAAATAAGTCAAAGATCACTCTAACCAAAAGCTTCCCAGATTCCCAGATTCAGAACACCTAATAAAACCATTTTTTATACATAAAAAGTACATCTTTTAGCAAATGGGAATGAAACTATAAATAATTAATTAACAATAATTCTATACCAGCAAGATCTCTCCAATCTCAGATCAGAGAGTACCTAAAGCTGCAACTTCTCAATTCAACACAGATCTTGACAAAGAACCCATCACCGTTCCACAAACAAAAATCAAGCAGAACCCAAAGATCAAAACAACAAATTAAAAAGAAGGAAAAAAAAAAATTACCAGATGAACAACAATAGAGGAATTGAATGCAAGAACTTGATTGGAATTAGAGCTGGTCAGAAGAGCAGATGCGAGTTGAAATGGGGAGCCTCAGAATGAGGCATCGCAATCCATGGAGGACCCCCACTTTACCTATCTCAGTTGCTAACCAGTTTCTCTGGAATTCTGAGAAATTTGTCTTCCTAGGGAAGAAGATAAACGCAAGGAAATACGACTGCTTTATGCGTACAAATAGAATGTTATTGACTTTTAGAATGCGCATCCTTGAGGGATTTAGAGCCAGGAAGAATGAGTGCTTTGAATGTGTATCATTGTTCTCAAAATTTGATCGGACGGTGAACAAAAAAAACCAAATAGGTCAATGGTTAAATTCGTTAGACTAGTCGAACCCGATTCATGTATCCATAATACTCTGTTCATTTCATATCTTTTTTTTAATGCAATTTCTTAATTATTAATATCTTTATTTACATATAAAGATAGATTTTTAAAATAAACATTTCCTAGTATTTTTTCTTAAAAACAGAAAAAAAAATACTTTAAAAAAACAAGAGAAAAGTGTACTGTTTAACCTCGAACTCTTTGAAAATTGTATGGTTTACCACACGCACATGAATTGCGAATATGATTCATCTAGCCTTGTAAATTCTATAAAGTACCATTTGCCAAAATTATCATCTTTATTTAAATGTTCAGCGATAAATCGTGCAATTTCCGAAGAGTTCAAGGGTATTAGGTGCACTTTTTAATGTTCGGAAATAAACTGTGCAATTTCTGAAGAATTTAGCCGTATGTAGTGTAATTTTTAATGTTCAGAGATAAACTATGTAATTTCCAAAAAATTCGGGGTTAACGGTGCACTTTTCTAAAAAAAAGAGGCAATATAATGCCAAAGTAAGAAGTAACAAGACTCGTGAACTGGTTGGATCGTCCTGGGTCACCCAGTTTGGCGAGTTCGATGGTTCAAGACGATTATTGCAAAACTTGATATGTTCATCGAATCATATTAACTTCCTTGATAATTAAACACTATGTGGTCCACGATTTTTCTCTCTTAAAAACAAATTTCAACTACTCACTTTTTATTTTTCAACATTTTTTTAAATTATGTAAAGTCAAACTAAGACAATATGTTCGAGACAAACTACGGAGGTAGTATATTCAATTACCAGGTTCAGATTCCAATTACCCACTTCTAGATATCTGTTATGAATATTCAGACTTTAATCACACAAGTCTACAACCCAAATACTACCTCCGTCCCTGAGTATTTGTCCAGTTTTGAATTTTTTCGGTCAACTGTTTTCCACTTTTGACCTAAAATTAAATAAAATATATATTGTATTTTAATTAAATAAAATAATATTTTAAAAATATTAGATATAATAAATCTAATCAAACTCTTTTTGCATCAATATCTAATATCATTTTTATTTAATTTGAGGTCAAAGTTTACCAATTTTGACCGAAAAAAGTCAAAAGTAGACAAATACTCAGGGACGGAGAGAGTATGAAATTTCAATTAAAACAAGGCGAAAAGAGCATGACCAAAGAGGTCTTTTGCATGTGAGTGAATGTACTTGCTCCACACTTTCTTATATGCATATTCATTATTCATATGATCAAATGCGGAATAATATTATTTCTCATGGTCTATTTTCATTAATATTAAGTCACTTCTTTTTAACATTATTTACTTATCACAATACAATATCTGTTCAAATGTATATTTTCAACCTATTGAATAATAAAAAAAATCAATGTCACCAAAGACTTTGTGGTCCAACGGCATAATGATCATTCTCTTATACGCTAGGTCACAAGTTCAATCCCCAGTGAGGGTATTAACTTTGCGTGCTTAATGAGTTAAGAATCTATGCCACTGGACCATAAGGTCTTTAGCAAATCACTTTTTATTTTACAATTTTTTATATACGATTTATAAATACTTGAATGAATGAGGTTGATTTAGGGAGTAGTATGATTTTTATCTCTTATGAGTTTTATCTTCTTAAGACTCCGGAAAAAAAGTATAGAATAAACCCAATAAAATCTCACGAGGGAAGGGTAAAGGGAGAGTGTTTGTACTCAGAACTATTGGCACAAATGACTAAAAATAACATAGTTTGAGCAAGGAGAAGAAGATCCGCCATTCATCGATTCTAATGCAAGCTGCGAAAGATTCCATGTAAATAGCCACCGGTCATGACAAGAGAAACCAAGGAGACAATGCCAGCAGGGAAGACCTTCTTGGACGCCATAAACCGCGGGCCCATCACGCCCAGAAGCCCAGCAGAGATGGCGAAGCCCACGGAAGATGCAAGAACGGGGTTTGTTGGGAGCATGGTGAAGACGCAATAGAGAAGTGAGGCTGAAACTCCCCCGGCGATCAATGACTTCTTGCTCCCACTCTTCAAATACCCCGCCGCGCCCCCAGCTCCCACCAAGAAAGCAAACCCCAGTGTCAACTTCTGTGCCATGGTTAGGCCTGGTTTCCCTTTGCTAGGCTCCTCCTCTCCATCTTCTGGTCCCTCTTCATTGCCACCACCACCGTTGTTATTGCCACCGTGGCCCCCACTAGGGCCGCCTCCGGCGCCACCAGCAGCAAAGGTGGTTGGAACCTTAAAATTGGAGGCACTGCCAGAACTGAGCCCCCACATGAACCCGTTTTTACGAGTGTAACAACGCGGGAACAATGTGGGTGACTTGGCCCGAACACGCAAAGATGAGGGCAGTTCATAGCGATCAAGAGAATAGTGGCTTTGGCACCAGGCTTGGGCCCGCGAATGAGGAAGCCGTGTAGCAGAGTGTGAAAGTGCCAAAATTTCTCCCATGGTTTGTTTGTTCGACTCGAGATTACGCGTTGTATATACCTGCACAATTACAAGAAAGAGATTTGTTTGCAAGAAGATTAACATTTCTTGAGGTTATGTATCTTGATTTCCCCAAAAAAAATAAATAGCATCTTTCATTAGGATTAGGTAATATAGGTATTAAGACAACCCACAAATCACTTCTCTAGCAACCATATTTCCTTGGGATTAGGAAGATAGATCATTTGCAATGATGTATAAGAATGACAACAAGAAACATTTTTGCACACAAAATTTCCTCCAAACCCATTCTCTAAATTTCCCTCAAATCCATTCCCTTTACCACTCATTACCCCCTTCAGTATTCAACCCATTCTCACGTTGTTAATTCTTAGTCGTTATGTGACGAACCAAGGGACTACGTCAGCAATGGTAAGAAGCCGAGGACTGGAGCTTCAGCCTAAACCTAAACTCTAATTTTATTCTAAAATACAAACCAAACACAATCAACCTCATTCATAATTCTAAAGCGATACTTGAGTTTCAATTAAAGGGACGGAATTATGTGTTCCACTCATTAAACAATTACTTATTCCCAACTTTCATAATGACAGAGTATATGTCATCCCCTTCATCTCTTATCATCGTATTGATCACTGCAAGAAACGGAGTAGTTTGATTCACGTTTGCCAAGAAAAATACAATCCTTCTTTAACCATTGTGAGCAAACAAATTAGCCAAAAGTTGGAAAGTCTATTTGGAATTTGAAACACAAACTCATAACAATAGCAATTTGTAGTTCGTTCCTAAGATGCAACTTCAACAAAAATGATAAAATCAATATCCATGAACTGAAATATTGAATGCTTCATTGATTAAATTAAAAAAATATATAAATCCAGCTGATAATAACAATATAACATTGTACTCACCTAAATGAGGCAAAACACAAACGATAAAAATGAAAGGTTGATATTTAGAGCAAGGCTGCAGACACTAATTCTACAATATCAAGGATTGACTGCTTAAAAAGATTGAAAGATTGATATCCAGTTAAGCCTTGGAGGTGAGATCAATGTGGGAAGGATTACAAACAACTTACCAAAGAGGTCTATTGATTTGAGAACATGTTGAGTTTGAAAGGATGATGCAAAACACGAGGGAGATTTGGTAGTTGATACTCCCTCCGTCCCAAGATAAACTTCACTTTTCTATTAAAAAAATGTGTCACTAAAGCCATTTGGGAGCCCTATGGTACTCCCTTGGCCCCCAAACCGGGTCCTAAACTCCTACCCCTGAGCTCCCCCCACAAACCCCA